CATTATGCCAGTAAAAATGTATTTGGGTCGTTCTTAAAAAACATGACCATTCTGAATTTTGTAATTTTTAAAAATTAAGTTGGCCAAATATGTTTATAATTGGCCTCATGTGGTTACGGATGGTATCAACAATAGGAATCCATAACCAGCAGTATTTTTTTTAATTTTTGGAGTTTTTGGAGTTAATAAGTCACAGAGTGGACTGGTAACAGAGGGGACAAATTAACTCAAAAATACCATATTTTAGCTTTTTATTCGAATTTTGGAGAATTTATTTGTCCACTTAATTAATGTACATAAAATATTTATAAAAAAATTATAAAATAAATAAAAAATCACTTTACTCACCGTTTTTCAGCAGTAACAGAGTTGACACTGAATAAGGGTACGTACCCGGCATACAATTGGGTTCCTTACTCAACAACGCACTAAACAAGACTGAACAGTTCAAAACACATTTTGTTGATTTTAGCTAAGTTATGATGGAGAAGCATAAGAGAAATATACGCGTCATACGTTTAACAAACATTTTTCAATAAAATGAGTGGACGTAACAGAGGGGACCAAAACCTGGGGACACAAATTTTCTTCATAAAAATTATACAAAAAAATTATTTTTCATCATTCTTTTCTATATATGGTATTAATATACACAAACTGAATAACAAAAATTGTAAATATTATTTTTTTTCAATTTTATTTCAACTGAAAATAACTATTAAATTTTTATAAATTGGCTCCGGACACAGGTTTTTGCTAAACCTTTGACATTGAAAATATTTTTTAAGTTATTTTCAGATAATTAATTATTTTTTTTTTATAATATAGTTACGTAGAATCGATAATAATTTATAAAAATGCAGATATTTTTCTATTTTCTTTTTGAAGAAACAAAATATAAAATAGTAAAGTCTGGGGACACCAATTGGTCATGTTTTTTAAGAACGACCCATTTACTAAAATCCATGATACAAAAGGAAGGCAGTTGCATTTAAAAATTTTTGACAAAAAATAAGTTTTTGAAGTTTCATAAATTGTACAAAATTATGAGCTACCTTGCCACATTGATAGCAACCAAACAATACATCAGAGGATTTAATGTTGTGCGTGGGAAATGTTCGGTTATTTGTACAATGATTTTCCCATTTCAAAATAGGGTAAAATTAGCATTTTCGCAAAGAAAAATTTAACTCGTGTTAGGCCATCAGCAGTATTTTTGCGTAAAACTCCTTTTCGCGTTGGTTGCCTTCGGCCGCGCTAGAAAAAATAACCTCATCAGTTCAACTCCGGCTACGCCATCCACAGTATTTTTGCGCAAAATCCACCTCCAAATTTACAAAAAAAGTGCATATTTCATACCGCAATCTTTTTCTTTTAAACTAAAGCTTTATCCCTTGACTAGACATATATGTTAAAATTGTTTGATTCGAACCTTATTCGAACTGTCTTACTTATGCATTTTTCTATAAACAAAAACTTTATAAAATGAACCTGCAGTAGTTTTCATCTTTGTGGATAATTCTAGTCACAAATACATAATTTCGAGCTGATATGTATGTATATGCATATGTATATTTTTTAGCAGCGCCACATCTTTATCCGAAAATTCCGAGAATCCGAAAATTGGTACTGTTGTAGTGAATTTGGTAGAATGGTTTTAGTTAAATGTCATAAACTTGTTAAAAGTCAAGTGGTCGGCAACAACAACGAATGTCAATGAATGAGGGTGCGTTCAGAAATGCATCAAGCCAAAGCATCAGCCTCCTTTACTTCTAAACTGTAACTGATGGAAATGCCTTATTTACGCAACTAACCAATTATCATTTAACCGTGGTTGCGCATATTGGATATTTCCATCAACTATAGTTTAGAAATAAATGCATCTGATGCTTTGGCTTCATGCATTTCGGAACACACCCTGAAACTACCTTCTATTTTTGTATCATGCTAAAATCAACACTGTTCGCATGAAGTGAAAGATTTGGTTCTTTGACAACGCGGTTGACAATAATGCACGCAGTTTAACGTCTGCAGAATGTACATTTTTTGAACCATCTTTTATTAAAACTAAACTACGAGACAGATAAGAGTTTAGTTTAATCAACAATAAATATAATGCTGTCCAAAGCACTTCAATGGCTGGGTTTGCAATAGAATCACCAGTTATTTCAGTAAATATTGAATCCAAATTGTTGAAAATTAGTATGTGAAGTAGAATTTTGATGCAAAATAATATTATTATGAAATTTTTGGAAAAGGGGCGTGACCACGCCACTTATGATGAAATACTGTATCTTAGTAGCCGCTTCACCAATCCTTACCAAACTCGGGTGTGAGCCTTGCTTAGGATCTAGCTCAGAAACTTGTTGAAAATCTTTGAAATCAGGCAATAGCCACGCCCACCTCCCATATAATGGTAATTTACAGAAATACAAAAACTGTGATAAATCAGTAACTACTGAAGCTAATTGACTGGAAATCGATTATTGCAATGATCACTGAGCAGAAAATGAGATTATTATAAATTTTTGGCTTTTGGGTGTGGCTCCGCCCACTTATGACTAAAAATGGATATCTCGGTAACCGATTTATCAATCTCTACCAAGCTCGGTGCATTTAATAACCTTGGTACGAAAAAGTAATACGTTAAAAAATATTCAAATCGGACTAAAATTGCACCGGCTTCCCGTATAACGGTAATTTTCGGGTATAGGAAAATTGCGATATTTCAATAAGTGAGGACCTTCATTTACTCCAAGTTAATACTTACAACAATCCCTTAACAATAAATAGCAAACTAACAAACAAATCGTGGTGGTACAAAGCACAATAAAAATTGACAAATGAATATATGGGATGAGCCTGCCCTAAAAACTATGCACTGATTCTATTTCATAACAATAACAATCACGCTGCCAAGCTTTAACAGCGGCGAATCAGCTGCACCTGATAGTAGAAGGTTGAATAAGGAAAATGGATTAGCAACAAAAGCTTACGGGGTGTGCATAGTTCAGTGGTTAGCGCTTCTGACTTTGCACATCGAATACGCGGGTTCGATCCCTGCTGAAAGTCTACAAAAAAAGAAGTCTGAAGAGGAGATGTGGTGAACAGTGTTGCCACAACATTTTTGTTATTTTTACCAAAATCACCAGAAAAAGTTACCAAATTCAACAAAAAATTACCAAACTTATTTTAAGTGAGATTTCATGTAAGCTTAACGTGATTTCCTGCCAACGGCTTTAACCATTTTTGCATTAATCACTGCCCTGAACTGCAAGCACTTCAGTACCAATTGGCAGTATGTGGTGGACACATTTACCACCTTGGTAGGGCCGAGGCCTACCTAAACCTCTGACGTTCTCTGGATCACGACATCCGGTTGCAATGCAACTCCACATTGAACCATTGCTGGTTCTACCCGCATTTAGGTATTAAACCACAGCCACCCCGATACTCCCCAAAGGGGCCGTACCCATGAACAGACCGGAGTAATGCTCGCCGGCGAGATTTGCTGGACTGGCTCAACTCACCCTGACCCATTTAACTGACTCAGCTCACACTAGAACGACTTACACGACTACTTCACTCCACATTCATACTCCGTCTTGCTCGTCTCACAAGTCTAATCGCCTCGCTCGTGGGCACCCTCCACATCCAGGAGCGGTGACACCAGTTGCTCAACTTTCGACCGATCGAGTTGCTCGACACACATTCACCATCTTGCTCCGTCTTGCTCATCTCACACGTCCTACTCGCCTCGCTCGTGAGCACCCTCCACATCCAGGAGCGGTGACACGGCTCAGCTTTCGCAACGGATCTAATTGCTCAACTTGCGCACAACTTTTTCACCATTTCCAGCGGTTTCCACCACACTTTTCCTCCAATTACAACTGTTTTCACCATTATCTCCATTTTCACCATTTTCTCCATTTTCTAGTCGTGTAAGCCATGCCAGTGTTTGCCTCGCCTGCCTTGCAAGCCTTGCTTGTGTCACCAGACATCAAAGAGAAAAAATAAAAAAGCCACTTTAAATAAAGAGGTAGGTTTCAAACCCATTTTCTTATAATTTATTTTATGGTAGGAGAGCTTCTCCCACAATATAGAAGCAATTCTTTCGATTTAAGTTGTTGAAAAGTAATGAATACCCAAATCCCGGGATCCCGGGATTGTGATAACGACATCCCGAAAATCCCGGGATCGGAAAAAGCTGAAAAATTAACATCCCTAGTACGTACCCATCCGCCAAGCATCTTGTAAATATACTCATAAGATGGGGTAACACACTTTCACAGGAGTGTTGTAACATGGCCGGCACTAACCCATCCGGACCTGCGGACCTCTTGGGGTCAAACGTGTTGACAGCCCATGTTATCTTCTCCTTATCCACTATCTCTTTAATACAATTTCCCGATGCACGGGCTGGGATAGATGCCTGGAAGCTGTCTGAAACGTCAGTGCACCATGGGAAGTGTGCGTCCATCAAGGTTTCTAAGGATTCCTGGCTGGAGGTGGTCCATGAGCCATCTGGCGTTCTGATGCTATCTATAGCCGAATCGGTTTTAGAAAGTATCTTGCGCAGCCTTGATGCTTCATTTGTTGACTCCAATCTTCCACAGACCTTCAGGTATGGTTCTAACTTAGCTGATATATTTTAAAGAGATTCCAACTTCTTACAAGTCTTGCTAAGGAGGAATTAAGACTCGTCACAGGCATCCTTATAGTAAACTGTATACGATCTAGTTAATGGTAATGTGTGGTCCATGCAATTATCTTAATCTATCCTAACCTAACCTAGCACGCAAATTACTAACCTTGTTTTTATTTAGGTACTACATATGTTAATGAATGTAAATTTGTACAGAAGAAATCGTTTTATGTATGTATTTATATAATTTTTGTTTATAATATTGGGCTGACATATATGTACATACATATATATAAGTATAGTATAACATAAAAAATTAACAATGTTTTTGTTTAATTTAAAAATTTTCATTTGGTATTGCAAAATACATACGTACATAATTGCTTACATCGCCAAAGTAAGGATCGTCGACTACAGTTTCAATCATGAACATCAAAACAACATTAAATGCTTGATTTTAATGTTGATGGTTGTCTGCGAAATAAGTCGTCATCATCAGCACAAAAGAATCTAATTGAAAAGTTTGAAATTTCAAAGGTAAAATTTAATAGCAAAAAAAAATTGTTAAATCAACAGTGGAGATGGTTGCAAGGCAGTATTATTTAAAATATCGCATTCAAAATTCAAATAGAGGATTTTGCACTAATGATGACGATATGTAAATAAGTGTGTATGCATGTTTTTTGACCCGCTTGCATAATTTATTCAATTACACTTTGTACAGAAATCTTTTTGAGATACCTTAAAAGATATCATACGCATCCGAAAATAATGTAATTCCGAAAATTTGTAAATGTTTGTTTGCAGAAATGTATGTGTAATTGAAGTATAGTAATTTAAAGTTAAGTTGGTCTGTACAAAAAGTAAAAAGATTGATCAATCATGAGAAATTAAACTAATTCTATTGATCACATCTTCTTCGATAAGTCGTCACATTTATCCGTTTGCTCACTACTGATATCGCTCGATTCACAAGTGCGAGCCTCGTCCTTCGTTTCCTCTTCCACTATATCTTCACCACGCTCTATTACGGTTTCCAGCGGCATTTCTTCCTTGTAATCAGCATAAGCTGTTGCGCGCTGTTTAATGATCTCTTGTATGATGGCTGTGAGTATCTCACGCGAGTCTACAATATGCCCCACTTCTTCTGCAACTTCGTTAGTCAACCACGGTGCGACGGTCTTCATGAGGTGCTCTTTCTTTGCAGCATCGGTAGCCGGTTCGAGGTTGTCCAAAACTTCTGGTAATAAACCAGCAATATGACCCTGCAATAATTTGGCGGCTGTCACGCTCTTCTGCATCTCTTCATCCAATTCCTTTGCGATGGCATCTTGTTGTAAGCGACGCTCCTTTTCGGCCTTTAAGCGTAACTCCTCTGCTTCGAGGCGTCGTAGTTCCGCCAATTCGGCTTCCCGTTGAGCAAGGAATCTGTAATGAAGGTATAAAAATATAGATACATATGTAAGGTAGTTCTAATTGCAATGATTTGGCTTAAATTACTCGGCTTGTTTCTGGCGGAGCGCTGCAATCTCCCGTTCGTGTGCCACTTCCAACATGCTTTGCTCGATGCACGCATCCACAAGTATATCGATAATCGGTTGAGCCTCGGCATCAAAATGGAAAAGTTCACCTTCGCCGATTTCGGTGGCGGCATCAACGCCCACTTTGGCCGGGACGTAAGGTGGCTCTGGTGGTTTTTCGAGGAACAAATCGGTCTGAGTATCTACTGAGAGCTCTGGCGGACGTTGCACCAACTCTTCCAAATATTTCTCAGTTTGAATAACTTCGTGTTGTCGTCCGTTGACTGGTGGCGGTGTACCAAGGACGTTGCGTTGATTTCGACAAACTTTTTGCTTCCGTAAGGCGTGGCGTCGACGCAGTTCAGCTGCTTTATCGAAGGGATCAGAGTTTTCCTGAAACGGAGTTAACCGAAATTCCATAAATGTTAGAAGAATACTCGCATATTGCATATGTGGATTAGTTTAGTTATATTTTCTAAACATTTTTAGGTTTATCTAATTCCGAACTAAGGCTCAATCTCAACAAATATTTTTTTAGGGCTCGAAAATAACCGTTAAATCCAAGATTTTTATTTTTAAATAGTTGGAAAATTTTTTTTTCTATATCTCAAATCAAAAATAATCGCTAAATTTAGATTTTTTTCGGTCAAATTTAATCTTTATTTTGCGATTAAAATTTCTTGTATCAAAAACATTTTTTATTTTGGAGTCTGTTTTCTATAAAAGTTTTTTTTACTAAAAACTTAAATCTGAAAATAACGGTTATCATATGATCGAAAAAATAAAAATTTTTTTCCAAAAAAGAAAAATTATAAAATAACGACCGTTCAACCATTGTCTGTTGTAGTCTGTTTTTTATAGACGTTTTTTTTACTAAAAAATTATATCTGAAAATAACGGTTATCATATGATCGAAAAAATATAAATCATAAAATAACGGTTAAATTTCATCGGAAAATTTTAAAACCAATTTTAACGATCAAATTATGATTTTTATCATAAAGATCATAACCTTACAGTCCCTGCTTTTTTATTTTTGTATGGTAGGGCTGCTAGACGTCCTGGTTTTCCAGGATTTGTCATGATTTAGACAAATTGTCCTGGTGTCCTGTTCCACACTTAAATTGACCTGGTTTTTTAATAAAGGTCAATGCGGACAATCGACTAATTTTTAGTAGACTTTTGCTATGAAAAAAAGGTTTAGCTTTCTCTCATTAGTAGTCAAAATTCGAAACGGGACGATTTTTCTAACCTTTTTATTGGTTAATCTAAATTTTTTATTTTCAAATGCCAAAAAAGTGCAAGTACATGGCTGACTGATAATTTAAGGAGCTAAAATCACTTCTGAAAAACCTTTCTGAAAGTCATTGCTTTCTCCGACCTTTTTTGTATGGAGTGGCACAAATTGAAGGGCTTCTGCTTGTGCTACTCAAAGAAGAGCTACCAGAAAGGCTTTTGTAGGACGTACTTCAGAATAGAGATTGGCACTCTCTCGAAATTCAATTCTCAAGTCCAGAACCCGCCCATCCCGAAGTGTTTCAGAATTGTGCGACGGGTCCCGTGGGCGAGATTTCTATCGCTATGAAAAATTCACATGTGTTTAAAATTAATTTTAAATAATCTTCCGATTATTATGTTTTGCTTTGCTGGTACTTTTCGTCTCAATAATACATAAAAAAGTGCATATTTCATACATCGTTTTTAACGAAGATTTTCTGAAATTGCGAAGGTTGCGGTTTTATCGGGGGTGCCGGGAAAGGATTGTGGTCCCGTTCCACCCGAAAAATTTGTACAGGTCTTCTCGATATCGCCCATCCCTGCCAATTTGAAATCAGTACCGTGGGTCCCACGGGTCGCGATATCCCGAGCCCATCTCTACTTCAGAAGGCCTTTTGGAAAAATTCTTTTAAAGCTGTTTTTAATTAATAAAAATTATACTTCTTTAAGGAATTTTTTTAAGGTTCATGTCAAATATATTTTATTGAGACTTAAAATGCTTATTGATTCTTATTTGTAATGCTAATAATATAAATATATACTTGTGTACATTCGCGTAAATTGTAAATAGGAAACCCCATTCTTGAAAGCATGCAGGGAAGCACTTTTTCAGTCCTTATTGGGTAAGTCTTTTACAGGCCTATTCTGCGTTGGTAACAAAAATTTTGTTACCGGTTAGTAAAGTTACTGTCAATTTTTAAACACTTTTCGTATTCTCCACACTCTTGTAACCAGTAAATTTTGTTACCATCTCATGAGCAGGTAACAAAATATTGCCCCGTGAAATATGCAACACCAGAATTTCAACAAAACTCCATAGCTGAATTGCTGAATAAATTAAAACGTTACCAAGGTAAATAGAATTGCGGTTGCAAGAAGTGGTGACAATTGTTGGTAACAAAATTAGCTTGTTACAAAATGTTCGGTTACAAGCAGAATAGGCCTGTTTGAAAGGCTTCACTCAAGACCACGTTAAAGGCGCCAACCATTTTTCCAAGCTACTTCACCGTCAAGAGAAATCTGTTCTTTTATGATTAAAAAAAATTTAAGAACTTGAGCGTTTCATCATCATCAATCATTCAGTTCTATGGATTGTGCCACAAAACTACATTGCTTATAATATCAGAAAATACTAGAAAATATTGCAACGCCAGAACCAAAGAAACTATATTTATAGGGAATAAGTGTCCTGGTCGATGGGTTCAAGACAGCCCTATTGTATTGGGATAATCGTTGATCAAGTGCTCCTCCTTAGCTTCCCAAAGGCTCTGAAGCCCAATCAGACGGAGCATCGCTTTTGTTTGGTTGAGCTCCATGAAATCGATCCATTAGAATTGTTCTGGCAGAGCACGTGTTCATAACTTCTCCGACCAAAATCTGGACATTTTCATACAGAAATATGTAATGGATTGCTGTCTCGCCATCTCCAGCCACATCCTTATAAAGTCGTGTCATTATCACAAATCTGTTGTGGAGAGTAGACAAGTTTAGTCCTGTCCACTGTCGACATGAGTGAAAACACATTTCATGCCTCGTTACCCACGTATGTAAATGCACCTGCCAAACTCTCTCAATTTGTATTAGTTATTTGCTTGGAAGATATGTGGGATGATATTTCTGTTTTTAGCCGCCCTTCTAGGTCAACATTCAATGTTAAAGGGAATGTACGAAATTAAAGGGAGTATAAGATATTACATGTCTATACACACGGGCATAGGGAGCAATGCGGAGTATTCCTAAGCTCACAATGGACTTAGTGCTCAACGAGCAACCATGACAGCCAGTGGCGTAACTATACCATCTGAGGCGCGTGGCAAATTCTTGGGATTGGGCTCTCCCAATAAAAATCGCCAAGTTGTAATTTAATTTTAATAAACCATTTAAGTAGTTACCCAACACTAATAAAAATATTGCGTGCATTTTAGTTAAATATCTAATAAATTTTATTTTCAAGAGCATGGGTTTACACCTATATACCATTTATAATAAAATACCCATTTAATTTTGATAAAATATTTACAGGGGTAGGCACTCGTAGTGTTACCAATTAAAAATGCTATAATTTTGTAAATTTTGATTTTTTGTATTCGAAAACATCAATTCATCATAAGAACTACTCAGGGTTTAGGAAAAATGCATTACTGTTTGGTGTAGCCATCTTTAGCGCGGATAAAGCAGCGAGTCTGTCCGGGAATGCTTCACAGAATGTACGAATGTGGTCTGGTGGTCCCAGTGGCGGCGAAGAGGAATCTTCAAGGCGTTGATTGTCTCATATATTTTAGCTGGTACTTTGGCGTTGAGAATGGACCATATGGCAAAATCCTTTGGGTTTAAGTCCAGTGAATATGGTGGCCATGGTTGCGAAGAAATGAAGCTGGAAAATTTTCTTCTAAAAAACGTTGGATTTCGCAAACTTTATGCGATGGTGACGGGTCTTATTGAAAAATCCAAAGATATATACCGAATTGTTTTCGTGCCCAAGTTAACAAAGCATCGTTTAAAACCTTTTATCGGTAGATATGTTGATTTCCCTTTACGCTCTGTTCAATGCAAAATTCCACTACACTACATTCGTGCAACATGTGAAGCATTCCCGGACAGACTCGATGCTATTATCCGCCCTAAAGATGGCTACATCAAACAGTAATGCATTTTTCCTAAACCCTGAGTAGTTCTTATGATGAATTGATGTTTTTGAATAAAAAAATTAAAATAGACAAAATTATAGCATTTTTAACTGGTAACACTTCGAGTGCCTACCCCTGTATTAATAAAATTCTTTTCTCCGAGCTTTCTGCTCCGAAAAATAATCTATAACATCATGAAAGTTTAAAGATAGAGGCATAGAATATTCAGTAGACAGAATCAGTGATCGGACTTCTACCACATTGTGGTAGATCTACCACTTTTACCACACAAGGTCTGAAATCTACCACATATTCGCATTTTGGAGTAGTAATAATTTAACTCCACATGATTTTCCTTATTTTTTTTTTTAATTTTAAGAGCAAAAATTGTCCAACACTAAATACTATGTGATAACGAGTAGGGACACGATATCGAACCGAAAGTATCGATATAATACTCATTTACAGTATCGCTGTAAAAATATCGGGTACCCATTATAGTAATAAAAAGACTCTATATTCCAAATATCGATACAAAATTCAAAAAATTAAATCTGAGTATTGGTCTCATTTTCTAATAAAGAATTAACACTTTGCACTTTAATAAGTACATCACTGAAGGCGTGCCACATTGCAACCTAAAATAGTACAAATTTCAGCGCTTTAAAGCGCAAAATATATCCATATTGCTTTACATATATAGGGTATTCACAGTTTACTTTTAAAGTTAAAAGGTGGTAACTTTAACAAGATAACACACTAGAACTGTGAGCAACCCTTCACACATGTGTTTCAAATAGTCAATAAAACAAATATAGTCAGATATATATTTAAAAATCTTTCAAATTGCGCCCACCTTATGTTTTTCTGCTCCACTTTCCATTTTAGCTGATCAGAGATCAGTTTAACACAAAACAAAAACATGAGACAAAGTCGAGTAATTTTGCCCAAAAGTGTTATCTCTAATTAGTATGGGAACCAATAACAAACAAAGTTACCACATGGTAGAATGTTTTAAAGTTACTAGGTGGCAAAATTAACACAGTAGATAATATAGAACTGTGAGTACCCTAATAAATTCCAAAGTAAGTAAGGTTATAACGAAATAGATTTGCAAGAAATGGAACCCTAGCTAAGGCTAAACCCAACTAGCACCAAAGTAACAGAAACGGAGATGTTTTATTTGCGTTAAAAATTTGTTTAAAAACAATATTAACCACAAAACTTTCAATAGACATTTTAGTAAGGTAACGTCACGTCAGATACTTC